TATATTGCCAAAAGTATTTGCTCACCTGCCTTGACTCACATATGAGCTTAAGTGACATCCCGTTCCTAATCCATAGGGTTCAATATGACGTCGGTCCACCCTTTGCAGCTAGAACAGCTTCAACTCTTCTGGGAAGGCTGTCCACAAGGTTTAGGAGTGTGTTTATGGGAATTTTTGACCATTCTTCCAGAAGCGCATTTGTGAGGTTGCACACTGATGTTGGACGAGAAGGCCTGGCTCTCAGTCTCCGCTCTAATTCATCCCAAAGGTGTTCTATCGGGTTGAGGTCAGGACTCTGTGCAGGCCAGTCAAGTTCATCCACACCAGACTCTGTCATCCATGTCTTTATGGACCTTGCTTTGTGCACTGGTGCACAGTCATGTTGGAAGAGGAAGGGGCCAGCTCCAAACTGTTCCCACAAAGTTGGGAGCATGGAATTGTCCAAAATGTCTTGGGATGCTGAAGCATTCAGAGTTCCTTTCACTGGAACTAAGGGGCCAAGCCCAGCTCCTGAAAAACAACCCTACACCATAATCCCCTCTCCAACAAACTTTACACTTGGCACAATGCAGTCAGACAAGTACCGTTCTCCTGGCAACCGCCAAACCCAGACCCGTCCATCAGATTGCCAGATGGAGAAGCGCGATTCGTCACTCCAGAGAACGCGTCTCCACTGCTCTAGAGTCCAGTGGCGGCGTGCTTTACACCACCGCATCCGACGCTTTGCATTGCACTTGGTGATGTATGGCTTGGATGCAGCTGCTCGACCATGGAAACCCATTCCATGAAGCTCTCTGCGCACTGTTCTTGAGCTAATCTGAAGGCCACATGAAGTTTGGAGGTCTGTAGTGATTGACTCTGCAGAAAGTTGGCGACCTCTTCGCACTATGCGCGTCAGCATCCGCTGACCCCGCTCCGTCAGTTTACGTGGCCTACCACTTCGTGGCTGAGTTGCTGTCGTTCCCAAACACTTCCATTTTCTTATAATACAGCTGACAGTTGACTGTGGAATATTTAGGAGCGAGGAAATTTCACGACTGGATTTGTTGCACAGGTGGCATCCTATCACAGTTCCACGCTGGAATTCACTGAGCTCCTGAGAGCGACCCATTCTTTCACAAATGTTTGTAAAAACAGTCTGCATGCCTAGGTGCTTGAATTTATACACCTGTGGCCATGGAAGTGATTGGAACACCTGATTCCAATAATTTGGATGGGTGAGCAAATACTTTTGGCAATATAGTGTAGATATAGATAAAAATTCTGACATCATGTTTTGGACAGTGATCTTTGAACATCCCTGATAACTGGAGCCACGGTTCTGTTGGGATTTATTACTTTGAACTCTCACAATTTCCTCCAAATAGTTCCAGTAAACTACAAATATACTACTTTGAGCCCAGTTATTTTTTTTAAAGACAAAGAGCTTTGGAGTCTAGTTAATCTGTAATGGTTTTCCCCTTGCAAAATTTAAATGTTCATTTTGCCTTCTGTAAAGTTTGGCTGCTTTCAGATAAGGAAATGAAACCTACCATTGGTTAATTTGATTTTCTCGAACCCTCTTTAAAAACCCCTGTGGATTAGCTGTAACATATGCTTTGCAGACTTAATTGCCGGTTCTGGTCATTATGCTTTTTGCTGTGTGTTCCTGTGGTTGGGGCTTTCAGACAGGCCTTCCTTAAATGCAGTGATCTAAACCTGCTGCTTAAAGCCACATGAATAGTTTGACTGTTCAATATGACCGAGACACAAGCAGTTAAACACAGGGAACAGAGAAAACTCCATCCAAACTATAATATTACCAAAAATCCCATTTCAACCTCTTTCCACACAAAGCTGCAGGTGTGGTTGGTTATCACCAATAATGGCTAGTTTTGGCCTAATTTTAACTGAACCCTCTTGTGGGTGGGGTTAATCTTTCAAGTAAAAGAATGCTGTATAATTTAAGTGCAGCGCCGACTAGTTCTACAGAGCAAAGTGGGTGTCCCCTGGTGTCCTGATACAGCAGGAACATTCTCATCCAGCTGCCAGGAGTCTTATGATTGAGAGCTAAACAAAGAGGGACAGTGTGACGCGGGCATCAAACACAAAAACACACTCGTTCTCTGTCTCCCTCGACACAAAGCACAGTTATTACCAGAAATAGATTTCTGATAGGCATAGGTAAGAGCGTGGAAATGTTTTAAGGAGTTAAGACAAAAAGAGCAGCTCTAACCTACTAGAAAAGAAAAAAGGAAATTAATAGAGAAGTTTTCCAATAATTTCCTCCCTCTGTTGGAGTCTATTAAGTATATTTCTTTATTTTAATATACAACTCCCTTTTTTAAATAGTTGGTAAACACAATCTTTGATTAAAAAACAAAAATGGATTTAAAGAAAAACTGTAAATACCAACATGTATGAGCTTTGGTCTCACATTTAGTAATAATAATCTTAATATCAAATTAATTTCACTAGAGATGATGAACTTTAAACAACTTATGGCCACAGAAATGAAGTAATTCTAATCACATAAGGCATTTATGAATTTTTTTTGTAGCGCAAATTATTTTAAATACCTTTACTCTTTTCAAACACTGAGTACCTGGTATAAAGCGAACACATAAGGTGTTACTAGCTATAAATTACTATTTATAGCTAATTAAAAAAACAACTCCAACTCAGCATGAAACCAAACCACTACTGACAGAGACAGCACGAAACAGCAGACCACAGCAAGGTTGGTGATCTGTCCCACCTCCTGGTGTAAAAGCCAAATGAAGTAGCTTCAAAGCACTAGGCGGTAATCCAAAAGTGGGTCAAATGAAAATAAGTGGTCTCAAGATAAAAAGAACATAAAGCTATTAAAAATAAATATTTCTTTAATGTGTGCAGAGTGAAACTCAGTAAACCCACAATATTAAGAAGATTTTAAGAGAACCTAATTATGGGTTTTCTACATCCTAACAAGAGGGTGAAATTTAGTGTCTGAATTAGCTCCCCCAGTGTTTTCGAATATGAAAACTTTTGTTGATTAATAGATTTTCTAATTAACATGAAACACTATGAAATATCAGGATATAGTTTTCAATCAGAAAAACTAATTCAAAAATTAACCAGATATCGATTAACACATTCAAAATTGTGTTTTATTCAATACCCAAAGTATATAGCTGTTATATGTTTTAATTACTAAGTGTTAGCAAATAATACATAAAAAAATATTTAAAACATTGTAGATTAAAATCAATCAAATTCAATCATTTAACCTCTAAAGGTGTCTATGGGTTAAGATCATTACTGTACCAGTGGATAAAGTATTAAACTTATAATAAGCTTATTCATCTAGGCTTATGTAAGTGTTGTGTCTGTATACAGTCATTTACACCACATCAGGTTTTTAAGGGTAAATCTGTTTAAACAAAAGGCAAAAACACTCAAACAGCTAAAAATCTGAGCATTGTTGGGGGCAAGAAATAAAAGTGTAAAAGATCAGTAGTGTATAAAAAATAAACAGCAGCTATTCTTCATAGTAATGGATCAAGTATTCTTTGAGCTATTTTTATCTGTTCTCCTGGCTTGCACGCTTTAAAGGACTGACACCGTTACATATCAACTTCACTAGAAAGCTTTACTTTATAATACAAAAAACAGTGACTTTGAGGATAGGATCGCATCATCATGATAGCATCATTACATTTACTAAAAAATGTTGGTGTTTCGTGTCAACAATCCTTCAACAACACATAAATCACTACAGAACTCAAAATGTTGCAGCGGTCCATATTTTTAACTTGCATGTTCTGGCGCATTTCTCTTATGTGTCTCTATTTCTATTATTTCTTTTCTGCAAAAATGTACATAGCTGTATAATGGTTATTTATTCTCCAGGTGCACATTTTTTTATACTGTTGAAACACTTTACAGTGCAGTATTTCATTGTTTATTTTATTGTTTATCTTTATCTCTTCACTATTATGTTATTCTTATTCATTTTTCTAAGGTCCATATTTGTGTGACCCTTTCTTCCCTATAATCTTTTTGCTGCTGTAAACACCAGAACTTCCCATTGATGGACAATAAAGGGATGTTCTATTCTACTCTGTGTAACATACTGTCTGTTTTGATGCATATCATCCTAGCTTATAGTAGTGATGTATTTTAAAATAAAACTATTAAAACAAAATACCGTTATATCCTCAGTATTGCCTGCCACCCACTTTTGCAGACTTAAGTAAACATGAAACATGTATGGAAAGCTTGCATATACAAATTAAATCAGCTGCTTCTTGTCACTTAGTAACTCACTTTTGACTACAAAAGAATAGAAAATTATTGTATTTTGTAAAAAACACCAAAATGAGGGAATAAATCAATAGTCAGAGCTCATAGTCCCCAGGAATCAACACTGCAGAGCAAGACAAAGAAAAGCCAAACTCCAGCCAGTCTACCTTCCACTGACAGCACAAACTTTTACCTATTTAATCAAAAGACATCGACAAAAATACGTTTTTTTCTTAGCATATCCTATCACAAAAAATAAAAAAAAATTTGTATATATATATATATATATATATATATATATGTCTAAAAAAAATAAATAATGCAGCGGACATATTGCAGCTCTTCGTCAGGCTTCGATGATGGTTTGTTTACACCGAGCTAGCGAGCTGGCTAGTCCGCTATCAGCAGCTGCCACGTCCAAGAAAAGCGAAAAAAACTATTTTAGACAAGCGGCATTTTTCTTGACAGCCATCCTCACCCCACTCTACGACTTTCAACATGCCAAATAATATATTCAAACGCCCAACTATGTCTCGTAAAGACAAAGAAAGGCTGGGCTAGCAGCGTTTAACTCCTGTTGTTTTGACAGACAGAATTAGCTGGATAGCTAAGCTGCTACCCAGGGAAACGCTAACCGTTAAATTAAGGAAAGTAAAGGGGGATATTTAACAGCTTTTAATAAAACAGAACAACAACACTGATAACAAACTATGAAAAACGTGACTGTTAATATTCACCTGCTCCGAATGTGCGAGGAGGTATCAGTGCTCTGGGTGATGTTAAATAGTTGACAGAGTTGTAACTGCCAACGAGCACCTCTCCAGCCCGAACGCTTACTAAACGAGCTCTCTTCCAGAGCACACACTCACCTACAGAAGGGAGGCGCCTAATCGTTGACGTTGCTCGCATGACCACAAAATATCCAATCGGATCCCTCTGTGTAAAAACTAACCAATCAGCGACTACCAGGAACAAGTATTTCTTGTTCTATTGTAGTTTTTCACCAAAGCTTCTTGTAAAGGCAGAAATTCAAAATCAAAACACAAACGCGTAAAATAATGATTTTAAACGACCGTATTAACTATATTCTTATATAGTTGGGGAAAAAATAAGTCATGTAAAATTATGTTTTTATAAAACACGTTGTAATGAGAAAAACATTTTATTTTAGACTTAGACAGGTTTATTTTGTTATTTTGTATACACGAGTGTATACAAAAAGAAATTTCGTTTAAAACAGCTCTAGACAATTTCATTTTTTAAAGTGCAGCCTTGAAAACAGTAATAAATACATAAAAAAACAGTAATATAAACATATGACTGTATATTTACAGTTCTAACATATTTTTTATTATTTTATATATATATATATATTATTATATTATTATTTTATTATTTATGATTAACTGATGTCAAAAAAGTATAATCTTTCATAAAATAAACATGATTTTAAAGAGAATATGTCATGATTTTTCAACATGTGGATCTATTAAATCTTTTTAAGCAGCTTGAATCTTGTTAGCGTTATAAATTATACATCTTATCAAACTGGATTTTCTTCAGCTATACTTCACAAAAACTACCACTCTAAAACTATCTGTTTTTCTAACTGCTTTGAGAGATTGGCTGCATATATCTGACATATGTGCCTGTGTGCACTCAGTAAACAGGAATCTAACCAGTAAATACACAGCTAAATCATCTCGCCTGCCACCTCTACAACCCTGGTTTAGGCAACACATGCAGATGTGTGCGAGTTTCATGCCAGAACACACATAATCCCACGCCCAAATGCAGTACAATTACAGGCGGCAGTCACTAAATGATTGTGCAATGAATTGTGATGCAAAGCTCTGGCAGCTGGTGTGATGCTACAAAGTTTTACTTAACTGGCTCACCAGTTTCACCTCTAAACAAGCTAAGCAAGTTCTCTTCTGAATACTCAACTGTTCTCTAAATTGACTTTTTAGTTTTAGAGATGACAAATGTTTATTTATTCCTGTTGATAACGCTATACATCATGGTTGTATTACGGTAGCTGTATGTGACTAACATTATTACTGACTGTAGGACTTCAAAATGGACCTTTACCAATAAGGCATTTTTCTGCTTCAGTCTAATAAGTTTAAGGCCTCTTTATCTTAATGGACGGAGCCTTATGGCTTAAAGACGTCAAAAACCTGACATATTGCCCCCAATCTAGGGAAATTGCAGAAGAGAGTGGTTTAATGAAGTCCCCAAACTGTAGCAGATCTAAGAGCCAATATTCTGAAATGAAGAAAACTGGGAGCAGCATTGAAACATTCTAGGAGACGCCAATCTAGCAAGTTTACTCTAGCAAGTTTAAGTGCATCAGAGACTCATCCAGAAGATAAATTGGAACCCAAAACAACATCTAAAGCACTGCAGGCTTCATTTACCATAGCTAAGATCAAGAAAATGAATGGCCAAATTGATATCTGTTTGAGGGGCAAAAACATTATTTAAAAGACTACAAAGGCATGTTATGTTTCTAGAAGAAGTTGTGTGAATTCCAAAATATATGAAGGAAAATCCTCAGTGGGAGTGACAAGACAAAAGTAGAACTTTATGAAAAGTGTAGACTCTTTTTAACAAGACGGAAAAAAAACATCATATACTGACAGTTAAACATGCTAATGAGATAGTATAGGGGGTTCTTAAGTGCTTCAAAACCTTGACAATTTGCCTTAGCTAAGGAAACTTCAGATTAAGATGGAAAATCTTTAATGGAGTTCAAGCCCACCTTGTTATGAGCAGGATGCTAATATGCCGGTCTTTTTAAAGGGTTTGTTTGAAGTGGCCTAGTTAATGTCTGGACCTAATTGTGACTGGAATGCTGTGTCCAATGTGGCTTAATTTAAACAACAAATCCACAAAGAAAATCAAACCAGAATTTTTGCCAACTGATACAAGATGATCTGAGCCTATTTTAAAAAAAAATAATGAGATTTCTTTTTATTGCATTTTATAAAAGACATGTATATCCCATTGGCATGGAACAGGGGCGCAGATAGGTTTTTGAAACTGTGGGGGACAGTTACTATAGGGCTTGGTCATCGTGACGTAAGCACTTCGCGTCGCCGCCATGTTGAATGCGTCTTTTACAGCAGCTCAGACTACTGCCTATGACTACCGCGTACTGTACTCCCTCTCAGCCGTGTTTTAATTTGATTAATTTCACCTTAACTTGATTTCAACCATGGTAAACCGTTGCTGTATTGTGGGCTGTAACAGCTCAACACATGATCGCCATGGAAACATAGAAAATGGGTTAACTTTCCACCGCTTTCCTGACTGGAGGCGTAACCATGGAGACCAAGCGTCAGAGATAAAGAGTCGTCGGCTAGCTTGGATCGCGGCTGTAAGACGACCGAACATAACTTTCCACAGTATTCCGATGTCAATGAGAGTGTGTTCCCTGCATTTTCATTCTGGTAAGTTAAAGATGCACGGTTTTATTTTATAGCCTACAGTGTTTCTTTCCTTCAAAGTTGGGATCTTTTACGGGAAAATAATCAAATCAGCAGCGGGAAAAGGCTCAAATACGCGAGAAACCCGGAGGGTTTGCAGTTAACGTTACTAAATACACCTTTGAAACACATAGCAGCTAGTTAAAAGTACATTACATGCGTGAGTGGTTGTTAGCCTTAGCGGTTAGCAGTTGCTAAACTAGCAGGTTCCAGAGCCCCTCTGATCACAGCTTACCTTCGTACGGATTACTGTGTTCCCACTGTTTGCTGGCTTTATGATCTGCAGCTCCTGAACCCATCCATTCATGAACTGCACATGAGACTCCAGGGACTTGTAGCTTGGGAACTGTTTTGAAGTATAGGCGCTCACTCATTGGTGCTCCACTCATTGTTTGGAACTTTATATGGATCCAAATGATTAACAATGCTGATTTTGTCACCATACCGGTCCCTGGCTTCTCTATTTAATGTGTCCCGGTAAATTCCAGATCCTTTTCGGGATTTTAACATCTTTTTTCTCTCTACTTCTGTCTCTTCTTTCAACAACAACGTTGTGTCAGAGCTATGCTTACGTTTGCGTAGCAGTCAATATGGCTGCGACGTCCCACAATGCAACGTGGATCCTGAGCCCTATTACTGGCTATTACTCAGCTATGACAACCCATCAATCTTAATTGCCCATCATTGCAAGAAAATAAGATGTATTGGTACCAAGTACTCACCAAACATGCCACATGACGTGTGAAAAAAAAAAGGTTTTATTTAAACATGGACTGACTTTAAGTGCAGGCTGTAAACACACAGAAACACGAACAGCAAAGCCTACATATATACAAAAACAAATTTGTAAATAAGTACTTTACATGGCTTTTCAATAAATGGCCTCAAATGAAGAAAGTTGTGTGTCTACTTTGTCAAGGACTCTGTAGAACTCCACTTTGTGGTACTCCACAGCAGATTCTGGCCTGTGTGCAGGTGCTGGCCCAGAATATCTCTTTGGGGGCCTATGTGTTAGAGACAGCTTCTCAGCCATATCCACTGCTTCCTTAAAGACTGCCTCAAAGTGGGCTGGCTTTCTTTTGTCCCGTAATCTCTCTTGGACAACTGAGACTGCAGAGACCATGCCCTCCAATGTCTGGGTGCTTTTTTGGAGCGATGTATTCAGCACTTCCAGTTCGCTCATTACATCTAAGGCCAGTGAGCCCCAGTAGCCCCAATTTCAGTAAAATCTCAGGCTTTTAAATGTTGTAAAATCACCCATAAGTTTTAGGTGTTTTAGTCCTTTATAATTAAATTTATACATTCAAAAAACATAAGGAAGTTATTATCAACGTCTCACTCTACTTTACAGCTTTGTATTAACATTGCTTTAATGTGTGTTATTGTGTACAGCTGGGGATGTTAAGGGCCATGTTAATTATAGATTAAATAATTTACTGTTCTGTAGTTTAAGCAATTGTCATATTTGTAACATCACTAGTCTTTCCTGTGACATGCACCTTTTATTTATTTATATATACACACACACACATTATATATATATATATATATATATATATATATATATATATATATATATATATATATATATATATATATATATATATATATATGAGAGAGAGATTCTTTCCTACGAGTTACAGTGACATAGACAAACTTGAAGATACATGACATCCTCAAATTTCTATTCTATTAAAATTTCTGTATCTGTATAATGGGTCTGTTCTATATGTTGTCTTCTCAATTCAGAAGGCCCCATGCCTGTCTTTGCCTAGGGCCCAAAATTTCCAAAATCCGCCCCTGTGTAGTGGAATTTGTCTAGCTTTGAAGTTCGTTTTTCTCATGATTCAACCTGTAACAACCTAAACCATTTGGCTTGGCATAAATACGGATTCAAGTAGCCTACTGTAGCCTACATATTTCTGAAAGACCCCCAACAACTCCAGAAAAAGTCGGAACAGTCGATTTAATTATAAATAAATAAATGCCAGTCGATTCCCCCTGCCTCCCGCCTTATGACATTGGCACCTCTCTTCACGCTATTCTCACTGACCGTCTCCACTCTTTTTTCCACGGCGACATCGAACAGACAACCAAAAAAATGCAAGGTGATATGATACCGCAATGAACAGTTTACTTACAGTTGGTGCTTTTCGAAAAAAGGATGCAATTGTTTTCTGTTTTTTCGGTTTGGCTGGCCTCATGTTGATGTCCGGACTCCGGAATTGGGAACTGTCCCGCCACTACTGTCTGTCTGAGTAACCATGGAAACCAGGCTCGAGACGTAAATGCCAGAGACAGGATAACTTTTAGATTTGAATCTCTACGACGCAGGCAGCCTGCAGTTAAACAAAACGATTGCCCGTCTATGATCTGACTGTTTTATGT